CGAACCAAACCAGCCTCTTAGTGATTGTCCGGAGGAAATCTGTCATGTAGAAAGCAAATTGTGAGATATGAACTACACAGCCATTCCAGGCACTTGACCAAATTCTCTCCAAATATTCGTATTCAAGAGTTAGAGCCCTGAGCTCTCCTCCACCCCGGGAGGGGACAGCAGTTCTTTAACCTCCCTGCCTCCCTCCCAGGATGGGCACAGGTGCTGCCCACACCCTCAGCATTCATACTGGCTTCCCGCCACAGAGGGTTCTCTGAAAGCAGGTTCCAGGAAAAAAATCTCTGAGTCAAACGGCGAGGAGGCCATTTACCACAGGTAGATGCTCCTCCACCGGGGATGCTCACGCTCCGCACTGCCTGCCCCCTCTGCTCAGAGCCAGATGCTGCACAGAATCAAGTCCAGACACAGACAAGATGCACTGATCTTGGAAGAAGCCAGGGTAAGGATTCAACGTGTTTCTTACTGGTTCCTTCCAGCAGAAGCTGTGGCAGCCAGGCCGTGAAGAACCCGGCTTTTGGGTCTAGCCTGCTTGCCTTAGGCTAGATAGAAGAAAGAACTTCCTGGGAATGCAGGATTGTTGGATAATGGAGAGGAGCCCAAAGGAGCTGGATTTCTTCTGGGAGTCTCCCTAAAACTGCAGAGGGGAGGGGTCTGCCTGGATGGAATAAAGAAGGAAAAAAGAGTTCCAGACATGGTGATGCACTGTCATCCCAGCATTTGGGAGGCTGAGGCAGGAGGACTGACTGCAAGTTTGAGGCCAGCCTGGGCCACACACGTTCAAGGTCAGTCTGCACCACATAACGAGGCTCTGTCTCAAAAAAGCCACCAGGTGGTAAAGGTGGCGAAGGAGGCCGGTTTCTCTGGGACCTTGTGTGAGACTTGAGTGGTTCTCTGCATGCAGGGGCAACAGCACCTGGCTGCCTGGATGCTAATAATACCAACTTGACAAGAATGCAAGGTGGGCCCGGGCTGTCGACACCACCTGTGCTCAGCAGCTCCCCACACACAGCACTGCAGGCAGGAACAAGGACGGGAACAACCCACAGACGTGGCGTGGCACCGCTGAGCTCCCTTCCCTAGAGGAGGGGTAACACACACACACACCGTGGGCTCCCTTCCACGGCCAGGGCCACGCGTGCAGCAGGCCTGGGCAGGAACACACAGGAAGGGCCCGACCTGGTGCCCTTGCGGTCAGAGCTCCTTCCTGCCTTTCCCCTGCAGACCACAAGGCCAGAGGATGCAGCCCCCGCAGCTGTGAAGCTGCTGCTGCCGCCAGCTGGGCTGTGGGGCCCTGGGGGCCTTTGGACACATGGCCCGGGTCCCCACCTCCACGCTCTGTGCATGCATTTACTTGTCCGCAGGGTCACAGCCAGTGTGGAGCAGGGGTCTGGGTGCTGGCGTGAGAGTCCAGCAGCCCCAGAAAGCTCAAAGCTCAGCTCACTTTCTGACGTGTAACCTTGGGCAAATCACCTCACCTCGCTGAGCACCTGATCTTCCTCTGCAGGCAGTAGACAAGTTCCGTGCCTCCTCGGCTCTGCAAGGGCCCAATGTGAAGAGAGCACTGGCTGCCGCACCTCACACCACGGGATTCGACACCCAGGGACAGGCAGGCAGGCTTCAGGGTTGAGGGGGTAAGGAGGAGCCTCCGTGTCACCACCTCCAAGGGGCACTGTGCAGAGAAAGTGTCCAGCTTGGCCACAGCCACGTTTCTCCTCTGCTCCTCATGCAAGGATGCAGCCGTGCTGGGAGCATCAATCTCTTCTCTGCATTTATTGAGTGCCTACTGTGTACCCAGTTTGCCAGTGGGGGGCTGTCGCCTATCTCAGAGCTGAAAGTAGTGGGCAGCTCTCTTCCAAGGGCCCCCGGGCAGGACCAATGAGGATAAGCCACTCAGCACCCTCCCGCCAGGCAGCACCTGGGATTTCACAGGGAAAGCGCTTGGGCTCCAGGTGGGGGAGGGGCTGCCTAGGGTGACACAGCCTGCACGAGGGCCTGGGGACCTGACAGACGGACACTTCGTGCCCTCCCCACAGGGTGCCCGGAGGGTGCGCCCCTCAGGGTGCTGCTGGTACAGAGGATGCAGGTGGGAACATCACTGAGGTCCTCTAGTAATTGGTAACTGGGCTCCCTGCTGCCCCTCCCCCAGCCTCCCCCAGAAATAGCCCCAAGTCTTGTCCCAGATAGCACCAGGCTCCTCAACCTTGTCACCACCCATGTTTCCAGCCACACTGACGCAAGTGACCCAGAAAGAAGACCCAGCTCTGGAAGAGCCTGGCACGGTCTTGTCTTTTCTTTTTTGAGACTAAGTCTCACTATGTAGCCCAGGCTTACCTCAGATTCACAGTGATCCTCCTGCCTCAGCCTCCCAAATGCTAGGATCACGGGCCTGTGTCACCGTGCCTGGCTACAGCCAGGCATTTAGAGAGAAGTTCCCCCCTTTTTTCAAATGACAACAGTTTACATTCACTGAGCCCATGAGGAGTGGGGCCAGTTCCAGTTTCTTTGAGTGGTTGGTTGGTTGGTTGGGTGGTCTTAAGACGGGGTCTCACTACAGTTCAGGCGGGCAGTTTTCCTGCCTCAGCCTCCCAGGCACTTTAAGTGCTGAGCTCAACGCCCACCAGCCCTTTGAGGCATGGCTGCCATTATTCCCATTTTGCACATGAAGAGACAAGCCCAGAGAGGTGAAGGGATTGGCCCAAGCTCACAAGCTGGGAGATGGAACACGGAGATTTAACCCAGGCCATGAGGCCCACATTCCTAACCACTGGGCTGCCCGGCCCCGCCAGTCTGTAAAGGAGGGCCTGGGAAGGAAGGAGGCAGGGCAAAGCCTGCCCCGCCCTTCTGTCCCCATGCTCAGCCCAGTGCAGCCCCAGTCCCTCGGGGGAGTGTGGCTCAGAGAGGAGCCCCGGTGGCTGCCCACAGGCCTGGGCCTTCCCCTCCCCAGGGGTCCCCACAGGGCCCGGTGGGTGGGGGACGTCGGGGCCTCATCACCAGTGCTCCTGATTTATAAGCAGGGCTATTTTTTCCTTTGCAGCTGCCGCCGTAAACCCTGGCGCCTCCTGGGAAAGGGGGGAGCTGGGGGTGGGGGTCCTCGGGCCCGGAGCCAACCCCAAATCCCTCCTGCTATTTCTGAGCAGCTGGACGATCCTGAGATTAAAACCTCCTAAAAAAATGTCAGATCCCTGTCCCACCCCGGACTGGCTCTGTCCTTCCTGTGGAACGCAGACAGACACAGTGCAAAGCGCCACCAGGCAGCGGGTCCACCCCACCCCACACAGCCCGGCCTGTTTTGTCCCCCAGTTGGCCTGAGATAAAGGGCTGGTCTAGACCAGAGGGTCCCCAGCTTTGATGAACGCATGGTAACATCAGCATCATCTGCAGGGGACCCCGGTGATTCCGATACCTGCATACTACAGCTCCCTGCAGGCACTTTGGCTCAACCCTGCTGCTGTTTAAGGTCCACTGCTCCAACTCCTGGCTCTGTGACCATAGGTGACTTTCTTGGCCTTTCTGGGTCTCCATTTTTTCCCACCCATAAAACAAGGAGCAATTCTGACCATGTTGTTAAGCAGGATGTGAAGAAGGAATAAAATAATAGCTACTGTTCGGAAGAGCTTTATTTGCAATAGCTCCAAACCGGGAACTACACAAATGCTCATTTGCAGATGAGCGGATAAACAAATTATGGTACATCCACATAGTGGAATATTACTCAGCGATAAAAAGGAGTGAAATACCAATGTGTCCAATAACTGAACAAATACTGAAATATTTATGCGGTCAGACCAAAAAAGTGTGCACACCGTGTGATTCCCTTTATATAAAAACCCAGAAAATAAAAGCAAATGATAGTGACAGAAAGCAGATCAACATTTGCTTGGGACTTGGGAGAGGAGGTAGAGGAAATATGAAAGAAAAAAGAAGGAAGGGTCTGAAAAAGTTTTGCTGTGATGGGTACCTCCAACATCTGGACTGTGATGGTGTTTTTATCAGAGTATGCACAGGTCAAAAATCATCCAGATGTAGCCAGGTAGAGTGGTGCACACTTGTAATCTCAGCACTCTGGAGGCTGAGGCAGGAAGATTATAAACTGGAGCCCAGCCTGGGTGACCTAGTGAGATCCTGTCTCTGAAAGACAGAAAGGACTGGGACTTGTAGGTCAGTGCAAAGGCCCTGTGTTCAGTCCCCAGCAGTGAAAAAATATCAGATTCAAACCTGAGCATTTTGCCACTCACACTTTAGGTAAAGCTGTTTTGTGTTTGTTTGTAACCCTGGCAGAGCTCTGCATGCAGGCAGCATGGCCCATCCATTAAGGCTGCTGCTGTTCCCATTGTGAATAGTTATCATCGCACCAGAGTGCTCCATCCGCATCCACCTCCACTACCACATCGCCTTGGCTCTGCTTGCAAACAGCGCATCCCCAATCCCCGGCATGAGGAAGGGCCCCTTAAACAGCTGAGGCTGGAAAACCTCCCGGATTGTTTCAGAGCCCAGAAGGTGAATTTGCTGGGGCAGACTGGCCAGCACCTGAGCTCTGTGATGAGAACCGAGGCAGCCCAGACCCACAGGAGACGGGGCTGCGCATAACAAGCTGCAGGCCCAGGAAGGAAGTGGGCACTGCCCCGCCCTGCCCTGGGCACAGGGGCTTGGCCTTGGCCCTGCTGGTGTTCTGAAATGCAGCCTGCAGAGGCCTGCCGAGCTGCCAGGCTGAGCTGGGTTTGAACTCCAGCTGGGCTGGGCTGTGTGCACCGAGGTGGGGCGCTGCACCCCTCTGAGCCACTCCCACGCTGCTCACCACGGGAGGGTGACCACTGCGGGAGGGAGAGGAGATCGAGGAGAGCACAGACAGCTCTGGAGGCCCTGGGGACAGATCCCGGCCCCCTCCCTGTGACACCTACAGAAACTCCCACTTCCTTGTTCTTCGGGGTCATGGGGCTGAGCATTCTAAGAGCTCCCCAGTGATTTCCGGAGGGCAGGGTAGAGATGTGCTGTCCTTGTGGGGCAGGACCTCCCCTGTTCACACACAGAGAAACGGAGGCTCAGGGAGCCCAAGCAACTTCCTCAAGGCCACACAGCTGAACAGGAGCTGAGGCTGAGTCCGATCAAGACCAGTGAGCTCCACGGCAGGTGTAAAGACGCGCCCAGCAAAGAGGTTCGCGCTGTCCCTCCTGCTGCTCTGTGAGCCGTGGGGTGGTGGGAACGCCCATCCTAGCAGCATGCCGGGCCCTGGGGAACTGGGGCACCATGTGCCCTGCCCTCAGCCCTGCGCTGCCGCTGGCAGGCCAGCCCACACCCCAACCCAAGAGAAGGCACCCTTGATCTGTTCCCTGTCACTGCTCTGGCTTGCTGCTGGTTACCCTGCTGCAGCTGGGGAGCAGCTCAGAGGGTCCAAGGGCCTGCCACCCTGCTGCCCCTGCTGTCCCTGCTGTCCCTGCCCCAAGGCATCACTCACTGATTCCTCAGAGGAGAAGTAGAGCCCGGCAGAGGGCCTGGGCTCTGGGGTCAGGCTTGTGAGCTGGCCTGGCTCTGTGAGCTGGACACCTGATGGCACCAGTCTGGGCCTCAGTCCCCTTCCCCCGGGCATGGGAATGACCACAGTGCCCACCTAAGGGCTGTGAGTCTCAATGGATTAATGATGCCCCGTGCCTAGGGCGGGGCCCAGCATATGGTTGATTGATGCGTTGATTGATGCCATCACCAGATCTGTGGGACAGGGAAGGGAAAGGAGCCCAGGAGGAGGAGACACGTAGAGAAGTGAAGGGTTGGAAGGGGTCTGCAAAGCATCCGGAGACAGGAGGGTGGAAGGGTGTCCTGGGTGGAAGGAACGGCGACTGGAAGGGCTCAGAGACACAGGAGAATCCACTGCTGTCCCCATGCTCCGGTCACCTGCTAGCCCACCCCACCAGCCCCAAAGGACACAGCTATGGCTGAAACGCAGCCATCCTCTGGGGGGCCCGGCTGAGTATTAGTAGGGGGCTGCTGCCTGCGAAGCTCACCCCTGCCTGTTCCCCAAAATCTCCAGTGTGTGCTGCTGTGTCTTGAGGCGGCTTAGTGCACTTCCCAGCCACATCCAAGTGCTGAGTCCCCCAGAGGAGCTTGGGAACAAGGAGAGAGGCCCAGAGAGGCTGAGAGACCTGGCCAGCGCCACACAGCACACCAGGACCAGGCACTCCTGCTCAGCTCGACTGCTGCTGCTCTTGGCTGGACAGGGAGGGCCGTCCCCACTGAGTCGGACAGAGGCCACTGTGTGTAGTGACACCTGAACCCAGGCCCCCTGGTGCCCGAGGCGGATGTGCTGGATGCAGGGGCAATACTGTACCCTCCCTCCTGGGACCCAGCACACGCTCCCAGTCCCAGCCACATCTGGATCCCACCTGGCAGCTCCAGGAACCAGAGGAGAGGGAGAAGCCACCCCGGGAACTTGCCATCAGAGATGAGGAGGAGCCGGGGGACAAGGACAAAGGCGGAGGCCAGCTAGGGCCAAGAGGGTGCCTCGTGGTGGCGGTGTCTCAGAGCGGTGGACTGTGCACAGCCTTCCTGCAGGGTGCTGGCAGTAGGGACTCCTGCCCATGCTCTGGTCCTCAGGGGAGCAAAGGGTGACGTCTGTCTCCTGGTCACGACGGACAACAGAACCACACGTGGAAGCCAGGCCTGCGTGACTGGCACCCCAAGGGGCGCCCACACCCCCAGCTACATATCAACTTCTGTTTTGTGGCCCTGAAGATTGAACCTAGATCCCTCCGGCTGAGCTACATCCCCAGCCCATTGTTTTTTATTTTGAGACAGGATCTTGGTATGTCACCCGGGCTAGGTTCAAACTTGTGTTTTTCCTGCCTCAGCCTCCCAAAGTGCTGAGATTACAGATAAATGCCACTTGTACCCAGCTAATTTTCTCAGTCTTTCCCACACCAATCTTCCCCTTCAGCCTCTGAGACCTGGCTGACGTCACTGCTCACCCCAGAAAGTTGCTCCCAGCACAAGAGCAACTCTCCCTCAGACCTGCCCCTCCTCCCTCCAGAAGACCAGAAAGACTCAGGACAGATTCAAGGTTTATTATGCTGGTGTGTTATATCTCAGCACCTGGAGGGTTATGCAGAGGTTGGGGGAGCCCCACACAGAGGACTGGGGCGGGCTCCCTGTCGAGGACAGAAGAATGCTGTGGACATAGACTGCCAGACCTCATGTATGAGCAAAGGGCCAGTGGCCAGCACCTCCTGCTCCAGGCTGGGCGTCAGAAACCAAAATGGGGGTTCCTTACTAATGCAGCCCCCTAGCTTACAGACTGCTTTGAGTCTGACAGGTAGAGAGGGTTCAGCGCACGCGCCCCAGCCCAGAAGCAGTAGAGGGATGAGAGACCCAGGTAGACGTGGCTTGAGCAACCAAAGCCCTGTACCACACACCCCAGCTCTGGACCAACCAGAACTTTGGGAAGCACCTTTAGGAAGATGAGAGCAGTATTTCCCAGAGGGAGTTTTGCAGGATTTGACCTTACAGCTGTCTTAAAAAGCAGCGATGCTGGCGGGCACGCAGCTCAGTGGTACAGCACTTGCCCAGCACACACGTGGACCTGGGCTCCTACCCCGGCACAGCCAAAAATAAAAAATGAAAGCTTTGAAAAGGTTAAGCAAAGCCCCAAACCCGTCCAACAGGAGCCTGTACTGTGGGGCCTGTCAGAGCTCTGGGGAACAATCGGGCGGGGCTGGGGAGGGAGGCAGCCAGCGTGGCCTCAACTCGTTTGACCTTGGAATCTTGTTTCCACGGAGCCTCCAGGAATCCTGTCTGGGAAACGCTTGCTTAGGGCCCTCTCTGGATACACGGAGGGGTCCCTCTCAGAGATGGCCTAAATAATCGGGTCCACCTCTGCAGCCGTGGCGCTAAGCAGAGGCAGAGAGAGCCTGAAATATCACAGGCTGCTTCTGCTTTGGGGGCCCCAGGCGCCCCAGCACTCCGCCCAACCACTCCCCAAACCCCTAGATTGTCCATTGTTCTTTGCCGTCTCCATGAAGAAAAAAAAAAAAAAAAAAACAGCAATATGTGCTTCTTCTCAGGGGACCCCTGACCATGCTCCCCGCTCCGTGTGGCTGATGTGGTGGCTGATTGCTCGTGGCTCTCACGGGCACACATCCGTCCTCCACGTTCCCTGAGAGCTCGGCTTAGGGGTGGAGCCCATGGGGCTGCAGAGGCATCAGTGCTGCTGGAACTGGGAGGCATCCCTGGGTGGACTGCAGACCAGCTTCTCTGGCAGCTGCAGGACGGGACCTGCTGGGGTTAGCACCTAGTGGTGGCCACAAAGGGATGCGAGGACGTGGTCAGGGCTGAAGGCCTTTTTATGCCTGAGAGAGTGACCACTGGGGCCCAAGAGTCAAGGTCAGAAGCTTTAGGGTCTGTTAGATGCTGGGGGAGACACTGCTGCATGCGCAGGGGTTTTCAGGGGGACCCGCTGGCCCCTGGGCTTCCTGGCTAGATGAGAGACACCCTTCCGGCTCCTCTTGGCCCTTGATGGCTGCTGGAGCACCCTCCACCTCGGCAGAGCATGACTCCTCCAGGACTTCAGGTTTCTCCTCGGGGCTCCTGCTTGCCTGGGCTTCCGAGGCCACCTCCTGGCTGCCCTGCACCCCTTCCTTGACCTTGCCCTCTGCTGGCCGGGCTCCCTCCCCGCTGCCTGGGGCAGCCCTGGCAGGAGACTTGAGGTTCTGGGTGGCGGCCAGGATATCGGCCTGCAGCTGCTGCGAGCAATCTAGGGCCTCCTCAGGCCGGCTGTCAGGAGCCCTGTCGGGGACCTCACTGAAGACGCGGGGGCCCCCGGCCCGGTCACTCTGATCCACATACTTCTTCTTGGGGAAGGACGATGGGTAATAGGCCGTGGACTTGTGCTTCTGGCGGGTGATGAGCGCGGCACAGACGATGAACATCAGCAGGAAGGCCAGCGAGCCCACCACGGCGATGAGCATCACATACTGGTGGAAGAAATCCACAATGCCGTCTAGGAAATTGGTGGGGGGCGACGGGCCCTTTGGGGATGTGGGCTGGGGCTCCACTGACGTGGGGCTGAGGGCCGGTGTCCGGGGCGGCGGGACACTCGGGGAGGAGGCCGATGAGCCCTCTGCATCCCCGCTGCCCCCCACGTCCTCCAGGAAGGCAGCAGGCAGGGACACGGACAGGGCCCCCACGGGCACAGGCAGCAGGAGCGGCAGCAGGGAGAGGAGGAGCCTGGAGGCTACCGCAGAGACCATGGTGCCCGGACCTGGGGGGAAGAGGCAGGAGAGAGTGAGTAACCCAGGACTTGGGACCCAGACACAGGGCTCGCCAGCCCCAGGGGCCGCAGGGGACACAGGCCGATCCCCGCAAGCACCCCCCGTGCTGGCCCTGGAGGTCCCACCGTGCCCGGGACTCTGCAGTCCACGCCTGGCACACACGCGATGCCTTCCCCTCGGAGGCCCAGGAGGGTGGGGCTGCATCTGCTTCACCCCAGCATCTTTCAGGGTTCGCACCATGTCTGGAACACTGTATGTGCTCAGTCAGTGCGTCTGAACGGACACGGCTGGATTAGCAATACCAACTTCCGCTTTCGTGACTTTCTATGTGCCACAGTTAAGTTGTGGGGTTTTGTTGCTGTTGTTGTTTTGTTTTTTTGGAGAGAGTTTGAGACAGGGTCTCACTATGTAGTCCAGGCTGGTATGAAACTCACTGCTGTCCTCCTCAGTCTCCAAACTGCCAGGATTACAGGCGTGAATTCTGATACCCAAAGGGAAGGGTATCCTGCGATTATCCCCATTTTTCAGGTAAGGAAATTGAGGCTCACAATCACTAATCAAGGAAGAGCTGGGGCTGGATCTAGGCATGAAGGCAGGGCTGATGGTGGGGCTAAATCCCTGAGGGCAGTGAGCAACACCCTCACCCTGTGCAAGGCCTCGTCTCTGTGCGCAGAGGGGCTGCAGTGGCTCCGTGGCCACATCCCAGCTTCCCCGCAAAGGCGTTCTCAACCCTCCCCGCTAGGCCCCAGCGGGTCCCTCTTCTCCAGAAGTTTCTCAGTCTCTGAGCTCCTCAGGGGGCCTGCATGCCAGGCTCATCACCCACAGCTGCCCCTCACCTCCAAGCTCCAAGGAGGCCCCTGAGGGCCCCCCGGGGAACCCCTGTGCTGAGGCAAAGCCAGAGCTGCCACTCTGCTCTGCCACGGCCCCTGCTAGATGGGAACCAGATGAGCCCGCACCTCCCTCCGCTCACTCCTCACCGCTGCAAGGCTGCTCCTTGCCTGAACCCCCAGACCCCATCTGGCCCAGACAGCCCTGCTGATTAATAAATCCCTCACGGCCCCAGTTTATGGAAGAGCTGGTTTCTAAAGCACGAACTCTCCTAACTGCTTCGAGACCGGGTCGGGCTTCAGACAAACCCAGAGACTCATAGCACGGTCGCTGGGTCGCCGGCTGCCTTCCGCCAAAGCTGCCAGGGAGGGTGACAGATGCTTCAGGATGGCTGATCTGGGGGCTGTCTCGAGGGCTGAGGTGGGGAGACAGAGGAACCAGCAAGTTCCCACGCTGGAGAAGGGCTGCGGGTCACATTTCCAGTGTCTACACTGCAGGTCCTGCTCAATGACACAGGCGACAAGCCAGCCTCTCAGGTGACACTGAAGACCCAGGAGAGGAGGCAGGATGGAGGCTGGGCGTTTAATTGGTTGTTCCAGGTGACCTGAGGCCTCTCAGTGTCAAGGGGAATTAGACCAGGACCCCCTCCAAGGACAGGGACAATTCCAGTCCTTTAAATAAAGCGGTGTGGGATTTGTATCAAACCCACACACGTCCTTCCGTGTTTTTATTGTTTTGTTTTTGGAGACAGGGTCTCGATATAGAGCTCAGGCCGGCTTTGAACTCACTGTGTAGCTCAAGCTCACCTAGAACTCATGATCCTCCTGTCTCAGCCTCCCGAGTGCCAGAATGACAGGTGTGCACGTCACACCCAGCTTCTGCCGTGCATTCTAAATCACCTCACACAATGTAAAAGCTACTTAAATGATATTATACTGTGTCATTTTCCTCCTGCTACAATGTTTTGTTGTTGTTGTTGTTGTTGTTGTTTTTTTGTCTTTTTCCTTTCTATCGGTATCGGGGATCGAACCCACAACTGCCTGCTTGCAAGGCAGGCGCTTATGCCGCTGAGCTAAATCCCCAGCCCCCATTGTTTTGTTTTAATGTATTCTATCTGCAGTTTGTTGAACTGCAGCTAGAGAAACCAAAAGCTCAGAGGGCTGTCTGTACTGACCTAAAAGTGCTCAAACCAGCTCGGACGGCAAAAACATTTCTCCCTTGTGCTAGGGATTGAGCCCAGGGCCCTCTGAGTGCTCAGCAAAACCTCTGCCCCTCAGCCCCCAGGACCTCACTGAAGGTGAGCAGGGCATTCCCGGGTTTCCTCAGGGGTGACTCAGCCGAAGCTCTTCCTAGATTCCCTGCTGCAGAAGCCTCGGCCCTACGTTCAGAGGCAGCCGGTGACCCGCCCAAGGACACACAGATGGCTGAGACAGAACTGGGATTTAAACCATCCTCCGTCTGACTCGGAGTCCACACATGCACTCACCACAACCCAAGCAGGCCCAGAAAGGAGTCAGGACCCGGCGGGCATCACTTCTCAGCCAGAGGGGGCACCGGGAGCCCCTCGGCTCTGCTCTTGCTGAGACCCTGGGCTTTGCCCCACCAGTGGCCTCCCGGCCTTGACTGGGTCAGCCCCTGAGAGATCTTTAACGGTGACGGCTGAAGTGCCATGATCCTCAGAGGCTGAGCCCTGGGGAAGTCACCAGGTGGCTGGAAAGCTGTGGGGCTGGGCTAGCACCCCGGCTGCCCGTGTCTGGCTCTGCCTCCCGCCTCCTCTGCAGCAAGATGTTTGTGTGCGCATGCGTGGCAGAGGCCGGGTGCCCACAGACCGAGCCTCGAAGCAGGGTCAGGATCACAAGGTGGCAGCTTACACGGGAAGGTGGAATTGAGCAGAGGGCTCCATGCGCAGCCAACAATTTCCCCTCCTACACCAGTGAATGACGCCCTCATCTCTGTGTGAATCTACGCAGGGTCTTCTCCACGCCAGCTCCCAGGAAAAAAACAACTTTTTTAACCCACTGAGTGAAATTTGCTCAGCTCTAGTCACAGGGATGCAGGATCAAAACTACAGACATGCACACATGCACGCATTCACTGGCCTGCGTGCACACACACACACACACACACACACACACACACACACAGGCATGCACGAGGCAGTGAGTCAGAGAAACAGTTGGATGGAAGACCAGGGCAAGGCCAGGGCTCTAGATTATCACTGGCTCTTAAAGGCTTAGACCCCAACTCTAGAGTCCCCAACTCCCCAGGGCCCCTCCTGAGTCCCCCAGAAAGGCGGCAGTGAGTGCAGGGACATAGCTCTATGCAGAACCAGCCAGGTCTTGAGGCAGATGGCTGTGTGACCCTGCGTGGGCCCCTGCCCTCTCTGAACCTTGGTTTTTTTATGTGCAGGGGGGAGAACTAGCCTGGGCCACGGCCCTCCCGTTCCCACACCTCCTCCTGGGGAGTGGGGTCTGGCCTCTGGGTCCTGCCTTCAGGGGGACTTAGACTCTCATGCTGGAAACCGAGTGAGGCCCACCTCCGGCACTTCAACCAAGAAAAAAATGCAGGCACAGGGATCAGACGTGGCCGCCTGGGGCAGCACAGCAACCCTGAACACAGAAGCAGCTGGCCATGTCCAGTCATTGCCGAGCCATGTGCGTCACCTCTCTGAGCTTTGGTCCTTATCTCTGTGCCATGGGACAATCCCCACACACAGGACAAGGCAGAGGGAGCCCACAGTAGGTGCCAGCCGGAGGGGACCAGGCCAGGCCCCCAGGAGACCCGCGCACTCCCCTTAGGAGGAAGCCATCCGCTTGCAGTCGTGATCATGCAAATGATGCAAACCCTCCGGGCCACGGTACCCCAAGACCCAAGACGTGTGGCAGAGGGTCCAGAGCTGCTGCCCCACCCCCACCCAGAGGCTGGCAGCCAGAGGGGGAGGGGCACCCACAAAACCTGGCTTCAATTAGTGATCTGGGGGGAGGGGTCCAGGCTGAAGCTCCGTGCTGTCTGGGGCCAGGCGAGGACAGGGCGCTGGGCCCCTCAGAGGGGAGGTCTGGCAGGGAAGGAGTTCCTGCGGGCTCAGAACTCACGCAGACACACACAGCAGTAGCAGGGCCAGCCACACACAGGGCACCCGCACACAGATGGGGTACAGCAAAGTCCCCCATACACAGAGAACACACGACACACACAGCACCCACACGCATCCCGACTCGGGGCAGGACCGTCCCACAACGCCCTCACCCGGAGCCCTCACCCGGAGCCTGGAAGCAGCCCCTGGCAACCATCCACTTCAGAGCGGGTGCCCACACCCCTCCCTCGACCCCAGCGGCCACATAGGCTCCTGGCACCCTCGGCCAGCAGCGCGCACACCCTCGGGCACACTCGGGCTCAGAGATGCCTCCGTGCTGCTCAACTGTCCCGTCCTGGAGCTCCAGGCTCTGGGCATGGGGACCCCGCCAGCGCGCCCCTGGGGACTTACTAGCTCCCACAGCGGGGCTGGGCACTCCCAGGTGGACGAGACAGCTCCAGCCGCCCGGGACAGTCCCCACCACTGGTGCCGGCTGCTCTGGCTGGCGCCTGCCCTCCTCGTCCTCCGTCTTCCTCCGTCTCCTGCGGCTGGGCTGCAGGGCCAGCTTGATTTCATTAAGAGAGTTTGGGGTGGGGACAAGGGGAGGGCGGGGCTGTGCCGGGCCACACACATTCCCACCCTGGCCGGCTGCTGCTGCTCACTTCCTCCCCGACCTGGGGTCCCCGAGGAAGGCTCACAGACACACAGACAGCCAGGACTATCCAACCGTGCTTCCCCAGAACCGAGAGCTGGGGTCCTGCCTGCTCCCCCTCAGTCCCAGGGCCGAGGTCAGGGAGGCCCCTAGAAGTGGGAAAGGTCTCCACTGCTGGCTCCAGCTGTGACTCAGGCAGGAGTCCAGGCTCCAGGCTTGGGGCGCAGAGCTGGAGTCAGGATGTGTTGAAGGGACGCCCAGGGGTCCAGGCCTGAGGCAGGGAGCTGAGTTCAGGCACCTGGTCCGGTCCCTTCCAGGCCTCCACACCCTGTTCCTCTTCCTAGGGCAGGCAAGAAGCTTGCGGGGCTCACCCTAGCTCTGCCATAGTGGGATCTGTAGCCTTAGAAGGCCCCAAATGGGGTCGGATAGTCAGGAGTTAGAGACCCATTTCACAGAGGGACAAGTAAGGTGGGGTGCACTGAAGTGTCCATTCAGGGTCCTGAAGTAGGCAGCGGGCAGGCCTGAGACCAGAATGTCCAGCTGACAGGAATAAAGGGGGCCAGCGGCCTCTTACACCGATGCATTCATTCACAGATGGTCAGTACTTCCGCAGGGCTGGGTGCTGCGCTAAGCAGGTTCCAGCAGGCAATCAGAGCAGACTCGGCCGCTGCGGGCTCACAGGTGCAGAACATTTACCAACAACTCACAGGAGAATCCGCTCCCTGCCCTAATCCCTCAGTACTGGGGACTGAGCCCAGGGCCTTTGCTCTGATCTGCATCCCCCAACTCCTTATTTTTTGGACACAGGGCCTCACGGGCTCATTACATTGCCCAGGCTGGACCCAAATTCTCTTGCCTCAGCCTCCAGAAAGCTGGGTTATAGGTGTGAGGCACCCACCCATCTTGTGTATTGCTTTTTTTTTAACATAAAAAAGAAGGGGGTCTTCAGTCGCAGAGAGCTCAGACCCGGGGCTCAGGAACACCAGGTGGAGGCCGGCGCACTGAGGGGAGGAGGCAGGGAGGTCAGCCTTGGGCACCTCAAGGGCAGCGAGAGGGGACCCTAGAAAGGCTCCCCAGGCGAGAGGGAGGAACAGGTGCTGGGGCTGGAGCGTCAGGGGCCAGCGTCAGAATATGAGAATGGGTTTTTTCGTCTGCTTGCTTGTTTTTTCTCTTTTTGAGACAGGGTCTCAGTATGCAGCTCAGGCTGGACTTGGGCTCACTTTGTAGCCCAGGCTGTCTCAAATTTGTAGGAATCCTCCTGCCTCAGCCTCCCAAGTGCTGGGATTATAGACGTGACCCAGCACACCTGGTTTATGAGAATGGTTTTTACCCAGGAGGTGGTGGGAGCCAAGGAGGAAGTTTGGAGCAGGGCAGCAAGAGATGAACGGGTCCACACCCGTCAGGGAGGAATCCCAGCTCTGGTTAGGGTTGCCTCTTTTGGCGGGGCGGGGTACCAGGGATTGAACTCACGACTTCGCATTTGCCAAGCAGGCACTTATGTGGCTGAGCTAAACCCCGGGCCCTATGGTTGCCTCTTGCAGTGGTCCCAGCTACCACTCACCTTCAAGAGGTGGGACACTCATTTATTTGGAAAATAAAACCAGGGACTTTCTGATCCTGTTTGCTGTCATGATCATCCCAGATCTTGGATTCTGGGGGACCAGGGAACACATCCTCACCTGTGCGTATGCAGGCCCCATAGACATACAGTGACTTCCCCTCCTTTAGGATGACCAGGGAGGGTCCCAGCTCCACCCACTTTGTTTGAGACCAGGCAGCAGTGGGCGGCAGCAGCCAGTCCTCCTGGGACTTACCTGCAGTCAGTCTGACAGCCCTGGGAGACTGGAGACTGGGGCACAACTAACCCAATCGGGGCCTGTTCCAGCTCCAAGGTCCCATGAGAGCCCTGGACCCAGAGACAAACAGAGCGCTACCATGAACCTCAGTTTTCTCATCTGTAAAATGGGAACGGAAAAGCCCTCATACTCACAAGGCCACTGGGGAAATGGGAGGATCCAGTGGACAGAGAAGGAACCCGAGCCAGATACCTTGCTGTCAGGAGTCTGAAATGGGCCTTGCTGGGCTGAATTCAGGGCTTGTGTCCATTCCGAGTGTTTAGGGGAGAATCCGTTCTTCTGCCTTTGCTGTTTCTAGACATTTCCTACCCTCCTCAGCTCCAGGCCTCGGCCTCCCGCCTCCCTTTACAGGCTGCCTTCTCCCTGGGTCTCTTCCGCTGCCCTTTCCCACTTTTAAGGCTCCCCGTGATGACTCCGGGCCCCTGGAGAGACCCGATGGGATCGTCTCCTCACCCAGCATCCCAAACTGAACTTACAAACCTCTCTGGTGCTCTAAGGTGACAGCCACAGGTCCCAGGGTCAGGGTGTGCATCATTCTGCCTCCCACCCCGGGCTGGAATACAGTCCTGCCCTGGTGTCCACCGGCGAAGGTCCCGTGACCCCCAGAGACCACCACACCCCTTCCAAGGGCTGCACACCGTGGTGCTGGGCCACCTCGCATCCCCCGATCCGCTTTCGGTCACCTCCAGGTGGCATTAATACTCCGGACAACTGACCACTGGGTGGGCGTTCGCTTCCCCACCTACCAGGGAACAGTGACAGAGGAAAAGGCTCAGCGTCTGCTCAGCACAGGGACAATTTTTGGCCGAGTTTCCAACTGGCCTCGGCAGTGAGCGGAGCTGAGGCCATAGAGGGAGGGCCGCCTGCTCCCCAGTACACGGGGCCCCCTCCACACGGGGCACGCCCGACGGGCTTCTCAGAGGAGCCCACGAGACAGCCGGGGAAACTGAGGCTCCCCGCAGGCCCAGGCAGCTCACCTTCCCTGCACTCTCCCCCCCTGTGTCAGCACATCCACAAATGCTGCCACCAGATCTGCAGTGTCTCTGAAAAGGCCCCTTCCCCACCCTGGCCGGTGGCTGACCACAGCAGACACCGCTAGGTCCCCCTACGAGGGTAACACCTTCTGTTGAATACAACATGCTATGTTTCTTTTCCTGATATGTGCACACGTGTTTGTTTTTTTTTTTGACAGACTCTATATTTACTGATATAGTACACACACAGACACACACACATAGGCATACTCACGTATGGTACACAGATATACCCAAAGACATGCACACCCATGTATACACCCACATACGCGAAGATCTGCGTGCATGCATATGCACACACATGCACACGCAGAGGACACACGCAGACACACGCCTTCTAGACCGGATGTCCCCAGTCCGTCTGAGGCCAGACAGCAGTTAAGGTGGACACTGAGCAGACATGCGGGTCCGTGCCCATCCTGGGCCACCGGGAAACGTGGGGTGAGGCTCTCACCACACCTGCGGGCCCTTGCGCTCCGTCCCTGAGAGGCTAGACTGTATTCACGTCATAGGTCTCTCTTGAGCCCCTGCTGACATCTCACCCACCACGGAGCCCTGGAGGCAGTAATGAGCAAACTCAGTCACACAGCTTACAGAAATGGCAGGAGATGCCCAAAAATAAGCAAGCAAGCGGGGCTGGGGATTTAGCCCCGTGGCTTAAGCACCTGCCTGGGGAGCACGAGGTTGTGAGTTCAATCCCCAGTACCAAAAAAAAAAAAAAAAAGCAAGCAAGCAAACAACTCACTGCGAGCACACTGGGTAAGCCCTTGAAGATGATACGGAAATATTAAGAAGGCAAAGGAGCACAAGGCTTCCCAGCAAGCAGAACAGCATGTGCAAGGGCCCTGAGGTGGGTCAGCACAGCACCCACAGGGCAGCTCCTGGAGCTTACTGTCATTAGGAGTCCATACACCAGGTCTACGGGAACTCTGCCTGTCTGTGCAGCCCTAACTCCACCGTCCCGGACCATGCCTGGGACACAGAGCTCAGTGCCACTCGGCTGTGTGAATAAACACTCCGGTGTCCACTCCTGCACTTCTGGCAGGGCCTCATCCTTCTCAGGTTTCATATTCCACGTTCTCCAGCCCTGGGATGTGTGTAGGGCCTGGCCGGGGCCCTCCTCCATGGCCTGCACCACCGCAGGGCACGGGCAGCCTGTAATTTCAGAGGCACAGGCAGCAGCCCGGCCCTCAGCCCAGCTCGGGAGGGGTTCAGAGCCCCTGCCCGGTGCTCACTGTACAATTAGCAGCTGCCCGCCCTGCTGAGCAGCCCTGCCGCTGGCCAGGGAGGAGCTGAGATGAGAGAAGCTCGTCCTGGGTCTCTGCCAGGACCCTCCCTGATTGAGCCTGGGGCAGCTGCCCGGCCCACCGCAGCCCCCAGCTGCAGCCCACTGCGGGTCCAGGGCCACTTCTAATTACACAGGTCCCCACCCCCAGGCCACTGGGCCTGTCCCCCCGTGCAAAAATAGCAGGGACCTTTCATGTGGCCGCAGCGGTCTCCTCTCAGCCCTAGAGGGCTCAGGCTGGCCTTTGGAGGGACCCTGGTGAGGCCACCTCCTGCCTGGTGCTCCAGGGAGGCTCGACAGCCTCACCCAGGCTGCCTGGAGTCCCAGGTGTGCTGGGACACCTCTGTGGGCCTCAGTTTCCCCATCCGTATGGAAGCTGTGCTGGCACAGAGAACATGGCCACCCCTCTGCTGGGCTGTCCCCTCGCCAACCCACTGTCCTCTGTGTCCCTTTGCCTAAGCACCCTCCGCCACCGCCAGCCTCAGGGAGGGACACGGCAGCCCCGCACCCCGGGCTCCCCCTCCTGGGCCCTGAGTGCTCATGGTGAGGCCCTCGGGCAGACTCAGGGCCTCTTCTGTCTCAGCACCCTTGGCCCCTGGGCCTGGAACACCGCAGGTGCTCCACAAATGCCCACTGAGTGGCTCAGTGCGACCTGCCCTGCTATACAGATGGGGACACCAAGGCCCAGGAAAAGGACAGAGTCAGCTGGATCTGCTATGTGATAAATCGTGTTTCCA